CTCTCTCTCTCTCTCCACTCCCCAACCCTGCCCCTCCTTCCCTCTCTCCCTCTCTCTCTCTCTTAATGGGTTGTTTCCTGCCAGAGATGTATGGCATGCAAAAACAACTATATATTCTCCCAACTCTTTTTAAACATATGGAGCATACTCTCCTCATGGTTTTAAACCTCGCTTCTTCCATTAACAACATATCTTACAGATCTTTCGCATTAGACGGAAAGAGCTTCCTTATTCTTTTTTGCAGCTGTTTAACATTCCATTATATGAATGTATCATAATATTTTCCAATATTATCCTACTGATGAACGCTAAAGTTGTTTATAATTTTTTGCTGTTCCAAAGATGTTGCAATTAGCAATCCTGTACACATCATTCTGCACATGCAGTGTTACAATACACACTTCTGAATGTCAAACTACTAGCTTAAAGAATATAAATTTTATAATTTTGATAGCTATTACCAAATTGCCCTCCATAAACACTGAAACAATTTATACTCCCATCATCGATCTATTGGAGTATCCACATGTGCATAGAAAATTCAGGGTATTAAACTTCAGACTTTATTGGAAAAGTGGCATCTCAGTGCAGATTCAATTTGTATCTCTGTTGTGTATGTGAAGTTAAAATGTTTGTGTTTTTTAGCCATATTATGTCCTTTCCTGTGACCTGTGCACTCATATGCTTTGCCAATTTTTTCTATTGGGTATCTTTTTATTGCTGATTTCTACAAATTCTTTATATATTAGAACACAGAGCCCACTGCCTGTTATTGAGCTGTAAATATTTTTCCTCATTTTTCATTTGTCTCTTGACTTTGATTATTGTATTTTTTAAGGCTATGTAGTTTTTATTTTTTTAATGCAGAAAATTATATCGATTTTTTCTTTTATGCATTTTGCATAATAACAAGGTCATACCTGTATCTGTGTGTTTTTATGTTTTATTTTTTAACATTTGCCTCTATAATACATTTGATCTTATATTGAACATATCTTGTAAGACGTGGATCACCATTTATTCCAGATGGCCACCTAGCTACTCCAACACCATTTCTTTCTTGAGTAGTCTATCTTCTGCTCGCCATTTTGAATTACCCCTATCACATACTAAGTTCATTTATGCATTCAGATTACTTACTCGAACTTTTATTCTAGCCCACTGATTTGTCTCACTAAATATATCTTGACCAATTATTTTCTTCATATTATGAAATTTTCCAAAACATTATTTTAAATGGTTGTATACTATTAAGGCTATGTCAACATTTAATCATCTTATTTTGAATATAAATTCATATTTCAGTAAAATATACCTATCTTCTTCTCTACTACCAGAGATTTCCAGAAACAAAATGTCTAGATTATAGCATACGAACTTCTTGTAAAAACTTGGTACTTATTGCCAAAGTATTATGAACTAATCTTTTGAGAACTATTTTCATAACTATTTTTTATATTTATACATTAAGCTACTTATTTAAAAGTATTTTTTGCTTACCAAATATCTTTACTATCATGAAAATTTATGAAGGAAAACTTACTCAAGATTAAATCTATGAATTACTGTAACCAGGTCTCCCCTCCAAGATGCTGTGTTTATTATCTAATTTTGAGAAGAGGGACAAAGTTGACTTTTAAGGTCTGTGTATGGGACCATTAGCAGATTGATGGAGTAATTTTTAGTTAAATAAATAGATACATATAAATCAAACTTTGTCTCTGGATCCAGGTGATTTTTCAAGTGACTTAAATAAGGCATATCCTGCCATTAAATTCTTTACTGAGTAAGACTTCTCCTTTCCTACTCTAGTTCTCTGTTGGCTCTGGACTTGCTCGTTACTTCTATTTCCTTTTTACAGCAGACATTCTAAAATCTGAGGAAGATATGAAACCAAAAAACTGTTGGGGTGCCTTTACAACTCACACTAAGCTGTCGATTTGCATTTCCCTAAGAGGCAATGACGTCCCCAGCAGAAAAGTAGGAAAGAGTTCCCAGCAGGGTACATGATCTATTTATCAAAGAAGTGTTGGAAGTTGTACAAGAAATTCAGCTGCAAGCGCCTGAAAACCGAGATAACAATGGCTTAAACAGATTGTCTCTCAAGCGAAAATCCAAGGCAGTGCTCCTGGACCACCTGCTACTCCACGGTGCATCCGGGTTTCAGCTTCCTTCCATCCTGTCACACTTGCCTCCATTCACACAGTCACCTTACAGTCTAAGATGGCTTCTTCAGCTCCACTCATATGGCCACATGTGTTGCACATACCACGTCCACTTACTCCAATTGCCAAGCATAATCACTTAACTAAACTTGGCTGCAGGAGAGTCTATTAAATCTAGTCTTTATTCAAGCAGCCACATGCCTGGCAAAATAATCATTCTACTACTGTAGAAGAAGGAAGAAGAGATATGGGACAACTAGTAGTCTCTGACATAGTGTCCTTCAAAGATTTGAGCCATCTCTAATAAGGGCTTAAGACCGAAAGCTTATACTGTATATTTAATATTCACTTCCAGTTTCAATTTATTTTTCCTTTATCTTAAATTATTTTTGGTAAAGAGCACAGAGGGAATAAAAAGATAAATGCAGCATTAAAAAATTTTGATCCAAGTATAAACCATTTCGAATAGAAAGAAATGAATTTTGGATAATTGTTTTATAGTCCCCTCAATACCCAATTGGATAATTCAGATAATCCAAGTAATTATTCAGTCAGCAAATATTTGAGGGCCTACTATACGGCAGGTGTATATTAGGTGTTCAGAATACAACAATGAGCAGGACACATATATTCCTAGTCCTCCGGAAATCTATTGTCTACGCAAGAAAAAACAATAAAACAATTAGAATAAAGAATGACACGTCCTATAATAAACACTACAAAGAAATTAGCGAGGATTCCTAATATTCTAGAATAGAACAGGGCAGAGAGATAGTGCCAGCTCCTTTAAGAGCTGAAAAAAGTTCAATGTAGCTATAAAGCAGTCAGTGGCAGAAGATGAGACTAGTGAGACAGGCAGAAGCCAGATCATAAAGAGCTTGATGAGCCAGGTTGATTTTAATCCTAATAGCAATGGGAAGTCATTGCAGAGTTTTAGCAAAGCACTGACATAATCGGATCTGTACTTCAGAAAGCTAGAGAGGACACAAGGTGTCAATTTAAATCTATACCACGAATTCAGGTGAAAGATCACAGGAGCCAAACTGGCAGGGGAGACAGAAATAAGCGGGCTGTTTGGGATAACTAGAAGGTAGAGCTGATAGTATTTGATGAATACATGGATGCTGGTAAGAGAAATTCCCAGGATTCAGGCTCAGGCAACTGAGTGGACAGTGATGAAACACATGAAGATACCCGAGGCTGAGAATGAATGGAAGACATGAGTTTAATTTCATTGAACTAGAGGTATGTGCAGCAGAAGACACACATTTGAAACAGTTCTGTGGCATTTGGAAGTGAGAAGACAAGAATTACTAAAACAACGTAGACTCGCTGAGCGAAACTGAGGACTCAGGTGAGGTGAAAATGGTATCTTAACTGACAATGGTATCTACCCGCGAAGGTGTGCAATTTCTTTTATTATCACTCAACAAATCGGAGAAAACTCTAAATTCCTTCAGGGTTAAGGTTTTTCCAGGCAGATGAGATAATAACACAGCAGTGAACAAAGCAGATAAAGCCTACGTCTTCCCTTCTTCCCTTCCTGTGAAATGAACGAATATATGTCGAGGGATAATAAGTACTATAAGGAAAAATGAAGTAGGGTAAGAATGTGATTTCGGATAAGGAGGCCAGAGGCAGAAGAGCCGTGTGCGTACAGACCTGACTGCAGTGCGGGAGTACTACACAAAAGAGAAGCTCAAAACACCGGTGAGCCTCAAAAACTAGCGAAGAGGCCAGTGTGGCGGAATGGAGTGAGAAATGACAGTGAACAACGCCAGATAAGAAGTACGAGATGCTTTGGACCATGGTGAAGACTTTGGAAATTTGTCTCACATGTGACGGGAAGCCACCGGAAGCTTCCGAGTAGAGGAGAGCAACATGATCTGATGGGAAAGAAGCTGAAGTCGTCTATATGACAGCAGGGTTTGGGAGACAGAGCAAAACTCTGAGCGAGCTGTCAGTCTTCAATGAATGAAGAGGGGTGATGGAGATGAGCAGGTGAGAGCAATGGGGGGAAACAGGGTGATGTAACCGAAAGGCGTGAACCCGGCCCGAGCAGACTGAGAGGATACGGGATGAGTAAGAAAAACTCCCTAGGGGCTCTCTCAAGAGGTTTACAGTCTGGTCATGATAAATGAAACTGAAACGACTATAAAATTATGTTCGTTTAATTAGAATTGTGTGGCCTGGGCACAAATATATTTATTTGCTAAGTTAAAGGAGCATATTTAAATATGTTGAAGTAGCATGTTTTAATTATAATGATCACAATATTGGGAGCTTTTACGAATATTAACCTTTTCCTGAGAAAACGGCACATAGATTTTTGGCAGGAGCTTCACGATCTTCTAATTCGCTACTGTTCTCCCAGGAGCTGGAAAGGTATCACGTGACAATGCCCGGGCAGCGACAGGATTATGGTTCTAGCTACCTGGAACTTCTTCGTGAGAAACTGATATTTTAAAATATCACATAGAACATCATCCTTTTTAATTTAAAGATCCTATTTAATTTAAAGATCTCAATATTTTCAAGCACATATTCATGTTTTTTTTCTAGACAAAGTACGGAAGTCCCAATATATGCCCCACCTTGAACCTGTGTGGCCCCTGTTCAAACACATCCCCTCTCACCACCCCCAGCCTCAATCAACCACCTGCCCTGCAGCCCCAGTAAAGATTCGCGCCATCCCTACAGGAAGAAATCCTCAGCCAGGGAAGAAGAGAGGACTGCCACAGCTCCAGCTCCTACGTGCAACCCAGCAGGGCCAACGGAAGCTCTGGCGTCCCCAGTAGTTTCCCAGAGGCCAGAGGAACTAAGTATGGAAAAGTTAAACATCCCAGGAGTAGACTTCAACCAGTAAGAAATGGGACTGAAATAAGTGAACAGATTAACTGCCTGCCCTCGGTCCCCATCCCCCCTCTACCAACGTGGACTGTCCTGAGGCACAATGGTTCTGGGTCGTCTCTGGGAAAACACCTGTAAAAGCGAGCGTCCAGGTGTGGAATGCGCTACCTTGTCCAGCTGATTCTCATTTTTCATGGTGGTTAGGTTCTATAAAGTTGCTGTGAAGCCTGAATTAGTGAATATTGAACCACTGCTCCTAAAGGAAATATAGGGTTAGGTTCCTGAGGAACCAGGGTCACAATATTTTCATCAACTGATCAACACATAACCCTGTTTTATGTGTGTTTCTGTTTAAAGGCATCTTATTTGATGCAGACTGTTGATCCATTAACAGTGAGCGCACAGCTAAGAGCAGTACCACTTGCCTGAATGGAGCTTACCCAGACACATGGATTTTCTCTGTAAGGCACATACCAGCTTTCCTGAGCTCAGGCTCTCTAGTCAGCACTATGCTGGGGCCATTTTAAACAGCAAAACTACCAACGAAAAGCACGAAAATGCAAAAACTATGGCACTAAATAGACAGCAAAAAGGACACTTATTTACAGTATGAGAGCTGAAACAAGAAGACAGAGCATTGATTCAATCTCAGCTGGGACAAGGCGCGTCCAGTAACTCAAATTTTTCAGCGCTATGCATGTCCAAGAATGACCACAGGAGAACCACGAGTACTGATTGTGGGGCACAAAATCATTTTAGCAAGTATGAGAATTTGCAAAACTGGAATCTGTGAATAACGAGGACTGTTTTCTCTTATTCTCTCTCCTCCTCCTTTTCCCTTCATTCTTTCTTCCCTGAAAATGTACCCTTTCCCCTACCCTTCCAGAAAGCCTTAACCCACAAACTTCAGCCAAGGCTCTGTTTTCTAGGAATACAGGCTAAAACACAAAACAAGTCTTATTTAAATATGTTTGCTGCTTAAAGAAAAAATTAATATTTTCTACTTGGCAAATACACACCCGCTTTTGTTTATTTCCTCTTATATATTTTGCAAGAAAGTAGTGCCAATGGCTATTTCCCTACTTGATGACAAAAACTTTTAAAACATCTAACTACAGCAAAAAGTATATTTAATTTCCAGGTTACTAAATATGTAATGTTATATTAAAAACTGGCACAGAGGCAAATTGATCACTTGGTTTAAAATTAACCAAAGCATTTTAAGAATGCCCCCAAACAAAATGAATGTCGGCTATATTAAAAATTAAATATAAAAAGGTGAAACCAAGAAAAGAAAATATATCAGGTGGATATTTTTATTATACAAGCATGAAACCACCTTTCTAAGCATGAGCACTAAAGAAAATATGGAGGACAAAACTCACAGATATGAATACATAAATATGTAAAGCCAGTAAAAAAGAATTTCTAAAACAAATAAAAAATATGGAGAAAACATTTTTTAAATGAATAGCAAAATATTAAGATCTTTGATATATACTGAGTTCTCACAAATAAAATTAGGATAATCAAAAAAAGAAACCAAGTATATGATACAATTTATATATATTTTTAAAATCACAAAGTAAAAATACAAATGGCAAGAATAAGAATGGAGAACGATGTTTGATACCACTTGTAATCAAATAAATATATATTAAAATGAGACATTTGTTATCTATGAACTGGCAAAGATGAGTCGTGTTATCTAGTGCTCGACTGCAGAAAAAAAAAAAAACTTTCACAGCTTTGGGTTCAGAGGATAAACTGGTAAAACTTTTCCAGAGGCCACTTGGTAATATGGATTGAAAGGCTTTACGTACCATTCAACCAGCTATTCAGCTTTTAGGAATTAATTCTAATAAAATTATTTTGATCTGCATAAAGATATAGCTTATCTGCATAAACTAAAAGAATATCTACCTCAAGGCAGTTTATAAGGAAAAATTAAGAAACAACTTAAAATTCCAAAAACAAGGGTCTGTTTAAATTATGGTACAGCTTAGAATATTTCACGTCTGGGTGAAATGTTCATAATACTATGTTTAACTTTGAAAAAAGAAGAGTTTTTTGTTTTGTTTTGTTTTTTTTAAGTAATATAGTACTTACTATTTGCCAGGTATTATTCTAAGCATTTAAAAAATATTCTCATTTAATCCTAATAATAGGCCAAAATGAATTAGGTATTATTATCAGTTTTCCCATTTTAGTTTGTAATTTAAATGTAATTATTATAATTTTTGTTCAAAAAAGTTGGAAAATACACACGTAGTATCCATATACCCTCAAGAATTAATTAAAAAGACTCAAGGTCTTTACCAAAATGACAGTAGTAGTTATCTCCAAACTAATACATAGCTTTTCATTTGAATTTTTTAAGTGTTCAGCAAAAGCATGTACTACTTTGTTATAAAGAAAGATGTTATTAAAAAATATGTGGCAAACCAACACACTAATATTATTCATATGTAGGTAATTTCCTCAGTTTAGAACAGAAATATGAGGGGAATAATTCACTGCTTCTTACTAAAGCGATGGGCATGAGGTCAATGATCATAAATGAAGCTTGTTTTGGATGACTGACTATCCATTCTTTCTGACCAATGTCTGTCTCCCCAATTTTGCCACTACCCCAATACACACCAATTTTGCATGCTTTATCAGGTCCTAAGAAATGAAAAGCAATCTAAATCTTCATCACACTAAACGCATATTTAAAATATATTTGCCTATACCATTTATTAGAGATTTGATGTCTACAAATCACTTAACCTCTAAGCCTTGTTTTTCTCATTGATAAAAAGAAAATACCTTCCTCAAAAGGCCAGGTACAAAATACCTTAGCACATAATACCAGTGCGATAACTAAATTTCTTTACTTAGTAAATGGTGTGGCCATCACTTACCGACAGGATAATTCCCCATCCATAGCATCGTGTTCGTCTGTACTGGTATATGTCAGCCTTCCTCCAACAACTGTCCCAACTAAGTACACCAGCCATGCGAGACGACCTAATATATATAATAAGAAAAATGTTTAGAAAGTATTGATAGAAACAAAGCTTATTTTTTGGAAAATTTCAAAATTAGCAAAATGATCTATTCTTCCAAACGAGTGATAAACTACTGTGAACTTAGAGTTCTTGACAGAGAGTGAAGAATTGGGTTTTAATTTTATCAGGGCGCTAAGTATTAAACAGTGAAAATAACCGATTTTATAGCCAGGTAAAAACTGTTTGAATCCCAGCTCTACCAATTTGCTATGTGATCTTGTATAAGTTACTTACCCCTTTACATCTTAGTGTTTTTATTTGCAAAATGGAGGAAAAAAAATCTACCCAGAAGACTTATGAGTAAAATTAAATTTGATTAGCAAAACACCAAATGTAATATCATATCCAGGGCTATTAGTAAGTACTAGTATGATCCAATGACCAGAATCTTTTCTGAACGGTCATTGTCACAATAGTACAGTCTGATCATTTTTAATATTGCCTCTGCTTTGAACATAATAGATGGTAGTTAATTTATTCTCTTTGTATTTTTATGCATAATTTTAAAAAATCCAAGAATATCACTGTGCAAATAACGATGTTCGACAAGCAAATTAATTTCATGGGCAACAGCAGCAAAGGATTAAATTACTTTACAACAATGGCAACATCTACAGTTTTCACAAATCTTACTTTGGGGCAGCCAATGTTGACAATTTAGAAATGAAAGTATTTATATTGAATTGTTTTTATTTAAGGCATATTATTTTCCATCTCTAGATTCATCAACCTATGTATCAGATTCTCCAAGACATTTGAGACTTTTATGAATAATTAACAACATATCGATTATCTTGCTAAAAAGAAATTTTGTGCTATTCTTGGGGACAGATTTTTCAAAGATGAGCAGGCTATTTTGTAATACTGAAATCAATTATGTTTCTGTATTGGAAAACCTTTTCAAGTGAATTAAAGTGCTATTTTTTTTTACAAGGTATTGAACAGTCATAAAAGAGGGCTGTCTATGCTTGTTAGAAGATTCAAATATAGATGACAAATTTCCAAGAGTCCATTCTCATACTTTATGATACATAACACTTCCTGTCAAGATTGGTAAAAGAGAATACTCAACACAGTCATCAATTAGCTGGACAGACCTTGATGATCCAATGATCTCTTAAGTGTTTATCTAACACATTTTAATTCCTAATCCTGAATTGTTATCTAGCTATTGCCCAAAATTTGACCACAGATGAGATTGCAATTGCCTTTGAGATCATCTAAGGCTTTCCACACTCCTTTTGATTCTCAAACCACCCACTACAAAACCAAGTATACATGACATATAAAATGAATATGAATATTTGTCAAATAGTTGAACTTAAAATAAATGAACTTACATACTTTGGGGTTTATCATTAATATAAACATTTATTTAGCTATTAGCTCTTGATAAAACAAACCCACTTGAAAATTGATAAAGAATTCATCATGCATATACTTTTTATATTTCTCTGTTGGAAGATCAATTTTAAAAAATGAAGGCTGTACAATTTAGCTACCAGCCTGGGTAGCTAAGAGTATACAGCCTGGGTTCAAATCCTGCCTGTACCATTTATTATGCTAGTTACTTAATCTCTCTTGGCCTTAATTTCCTCATTTATAAATATGAGGATAATAATTACCTGACTCACAGGCTTGTGACAAGCACTAAATGCTATTCTGCAAGTAAAGTATTCATAATAATGCCTGCTATAAATGCTCAGTAAATGTTAGCTATTTTTTCTATTATAAATAACTATCCCCTTTTTAGTCCTTCTATATCATACCTACAAAAACTATGAAACATATCAATATGTAACATTTATATGTTAATTCTGAGTTTTATTTTAGAAGCTACTAAAAAAAATGAAGTTACACTATATTTAAAAAAATTTAAGTTCTCGCCTCTTTACCAAACAGGCTTGTTGCAATTAAAGCTAATTACGATTAGCTATATATATTTTCTTAATGCTGTTTGTAAAACAAACAAAATAATCCCTAACTAGGATTAGTGTTAGAAATGAACAATTAAATATAAAGGCATTATTATTAAGCTATCAAATATAATTTTCATATTTAACTGAATGAGAAGGGATATTTCTCATATACATTAAACCTTTCCCTAAACCTCAAAAATTTTAGAATAACAGTATTCAAAATAATAAATGCTAAGAAGTTACTTTGGTTACAGAATTACATACACAAAGTTTAAAGAACCATATAAATTAACAAATCTAAATTGCATTTAGAAATATAAATATCTGATACATGAATAATTTAGCTATAAATTTTTTAAATATCTTATGACTAAAAAATAGTTACACTAAATTTCTATTATAATTTTCCATTATTCTGAATGTTCAAGGCACTTGTTTTAGCAGCTGTTCAAGCACAGAACAGTTTTTCCTTTAACAAAATAATTATTGCTGTAATAATCTGTAATTATGGTTTGTAACTGCAATAATCCCAAAGAAATCAGTCATTACCATAGATCACAAGTAATCGTTAACTACTGTTAATGACCTATTTCTTAGGGATTATTGTTTTCGTAAACCATGACCATATCACCACAAATATAGAAGAGCAAGACAATATAATACAAATGAGATCATAATATAATAATAAACTTATTTTGTAACATTAAAAGCCATTAAGCATCGAAATTAAAGCACACATAACGAGAGCATATAATTTTCTTTGTTCAACATTAACTGAAGTGTTTAGTCTGCACAAAAGAAATTGAATACTACTACAGTGGTACAAACTAGAGCCACGTTAGGCATTTTTCGTAATATGAAACCATCGTTTTTGAGTAGACCATAGATATCTTTAAATGGTGGACATGGAAGGAGATCTGACTTTGGATAGTGAACACACAATGCAATATACAGATGATGTATTATTAAATTGTACACTTGAAACTGACATTATTTTATTAACCAATGTGGCCTCAATTTTATTTAATTAAACAAATAAAAAGGCAGACAGATTCCTTACCACTGATCTCTTGACTAGAAGAAAACAAGTATTTATTAAAATTGTTCCATGTATCACGCATTGTATTACGGACTGAAATGTCATTTTATTAAAACTACATAGTGTATCCGACTATAAAAACTCCCTGAATTTATATTAATCAAAAATCAAGTCTGACTTAATTTTTTCAATACAGAAAAAATTATCTAACATCAATAAACTACCTATCTAACATCAATAAACCTTTCACTTAATTCCATTCATGCATCTTAGAATAGCTAATATACCCTTTCGCAGGAAATACCCATTTGTACAGGTCTTTGATTTTAAAACTGAATTCTTTTACATTGCAGTGTAACATCTAGACATATGAAAGAATGAATATGTGTAATGTATATATAAAGTGCCATAAAGCAAACACCTGTGAACGCCCCCATCCAAGTTAGAAACCATCACTCCTACCTCCATTCCTGTCCCCTAGCTTGTCCCCTTACCTCCAACCCTAGAGGTAACCATGATCCTGCATCTGGAGCTTATGATTCTCTTGACATTTGTTTTCATTTTATCATGTATGTATATGTTCCTAAACAGCAGACTTTGAGTCTCACTTGTTTGGGGGCTTTATTATTTCATATTATACATAGTTTCTTAATAATTGCTGTTTCCCACTAAATATTTTATCTCTGACAGTCGCCTTTAAGGATACCTATAGTTCATTCATTTGTATTGTTATACAGCATTTCGTTGTGTGACTATATTATGATCCATTTATCCATTTTCATGTTGATGAGCATTTGAGCTGTTTCCACTTTCTGGCTTTGTGAACAATTAGGCTATGGACATTCTCACACATGTCCTCTTGTGTAGAAGAGATTTTCTAGAGGACATACTTAAGAGTGGAAGTGCCAGGTCAGCACGTATTTGAATGTTCCACTTCACAAAATAACACCAAACTGATTTCCATTGCACTTCCAATTTATTATACTTTATACCCCCACCGGAAGTGTGTAAGAATTCCCTCTGATTTACATTTTCCTCTAAAATTTCTTACTTTTGCCAATCTACTGGGACTAACGTGGTATCTCGTGCCATGTTTGTAAAAATATATGTATGTTTGTAAAAATTCCCAAGAGCATGGAATGGAGTTTGTTACCTTTGCAATTTAGTTTTAATTGCAAATTGATAAGAAAATGGGGACTCTACTTTATTGAGTCACTGAAATATGTTGTTGAGACTTGATTTATATACCAATACTTGGTCAATTTTTTAAAAATGAAAATAATGACAAATAATATTCTATTAGTTTCAGGTATACAACATAATGATTCGGTATTTGTATATATTGCAAAATGATCACCATAATAAGTTTAGTTAACATCCATCACCCATAGTCACAATTTTTTCTCTTGTGGTAAGAATTTTTAAGATCTACTCTCTCAGTAACTTTCAAATATGTCGTACAGTATTATTAACTATAGTCACCATGCTGTACATTATTTATTTCATAACTGGAATTTTCTACCTTTGACCACCTTTACCCACTATGCCCACCAACCCTGGCAACCACCAATCTATTTTCTATTATCTATGAGTTTAGTTCCACATGTGTGAAATAATACTGTATTAGCCTTTCTCTGACTTATTTCACTTTGTATAATGCCCTCAAGGTCCATCCATGTTGTAACGAATGGCAAGATTTCATTCTTTTTATGGCTGAGTAATACTCCATTGTGTGTCTGTGTGTGTATACACCACATTTTATCAATTTGGCCAACACTTAGGTTGCTTCCATGTCTTGACTTTAGTAAATAAGGATGCATAAACATGAGGGTGCAGATATCTTAAGACCTCATTTGAACTTGATTATCTCTATAAAGACCCTATTTTAAAATAGGAGCACATTCTGAGGTACTGGGGTTTAGGACTTCAACATATCTTCTTTGAGGGGACATGGTTACCCATAACAATGCATAATTACAACTTCTGACAAGTGCTATGGTG